TGTATTCTGCTGTCACTAGTGTAAGATGTCAAGATTGCGCCTTGAACGATAGGAGACTTGCGTGTAGGTTAACTGAATGAAATCGGAGAGGAAGGTTGGACATTAGGCTTAACAAACCTGGCCATCATCAAATTTAAAAACGCAAAATTGACACCATTAGTACAGTTACAACACTAAAAACTCTTTTTTAGAAGATATTTTTTAAATTTACTTCTTGAAATAAATACATGATATGATTCTCTTAGTTTGTGTTTTACCTATAATTTTTATATATAATTCTAAATTTTTCATATATGGTGGCATATTCATGTCAATTAACTGCAAACTTTCATCGCAACAAATTCAACTAATTAAGCTCCGCAATTAATCGACAACCTTGGTAACTCATGACAACGTTGTTATCTTCCCGCACTGACCCGAACGTCCACTCTTTTGACCCCATCGAATGGGATGAAAAATAAAGACAAGGCAGGCGATCATGGTTTGGGCGTCTTTGAAAGCCTTTCATGCATAATAAAAGGTACGAAACTTACGTAAGTACGGTTTTTGAATTTACTTAGCCTTTTATTCTTACCATTCTGTAGTATTTTCATGGTGTAATATAACAATGCCGAATTTTGCACCCGTCTTTCTTTTTAGCTGTCCTCATTGGTTCTGAGACTAATAATTGACATTGTAAATTATACTGCGTTTAATAGGAATTTTTACTTCTGACGAATAGTGTGTTATTGTATTCTTGTTCTTATAACTACTTTCTCTTAATTTTTTTCGATCAATATTACCGTTTTTTAAAGTAGGTTAGATATGTTGCTAGAGTTGGATTGTTTTTTAGAAGTTATCGTGATATGCTAGGTGTTAAGTGACTGGTTATAATTTCTTGTAAACTGTGTCTATCTAATGCTGACCCAATATTGTGATTTTATTTGTACAGATCGATTTTACTTTGCAATCAGTAACGGAGTCCCTCCTTCTTCTCTCACGCTTCACATTTTCTCTATAGATGATGTGCTTGTCTACGAAAAGTTGGTTCCTTTATTTTTATTTAACCACACTCACCTTTTTAAGATTTTATGACGATTTTGGACCCTTTAATCTTGCACAAGTTTACCGATATTGCCGAAAGGTGAACAAAAAACTGAAGACTTCCGCCTTGTCCAACAACCGAATTGTTCATTGCACTTCCACTGAAATCACAAAACGCACCAATGCTGCCTTCCTTGTTGGATGCTATCAAATCATTTATCTCAACCGCTCTGCCGATGAAGCTTATAAACATCTTCTGCTGGACAAGTATCGGACATTTGCTCCCTATCGGTAAGCAATCCTGTGCAACGGCAGTTTAGATTTTGTTCATCCGTTTATTAGCGGAGGCAGCTTTTTATGACTTTTTAATTGGACACTCACATTTTGTTTTCACACCTTTGGAGACCATTTTTATCGCTCATAAATTATTTGTAGCACTCTTCCAGAAAGGCTCAAAAGGTGGCACCTAATTAATAATTCCATTATCCAATAAGTTGAGACATTCTGAGTGACATTGTAGAACCGATTGTTTATTTTTTAAAATGGTAAATTTGGCGTTAAAGGACCTTAAAGGAGGGAAATCACTGCCCACGCTTTTTGACGCTGATGAAGAAAAACACTGAGTTAAGTCTGTCGAATAAATAAGCCACCTTACGCCCACATCAGCCATGTCTTTCGCACAACAGCGCTTTGAATGATTATTAAGCTAATACAATTACTTTGTCGATTGGTTGATTGCAAGTCAATCTTGCTGCACAGTCACAATTGTCGTTTCTTTTGCACGTCTGGTTCTCTTTGTTATTAGGTCAGGAAATGACCTTGATGTAGCACGTTTTAGCATTGAAATTCTTGTATGATAAGTTTGGCCAAGGTAATGCACAAACGTACTAGCCCAAAACAAAGCGAAACGCCCACTGATCATCTTGTTTATTGCACCCATAAGCGACTCATAAACAACCATTCTAAACCTGCACATGTAATGGGTCCAAATTAAGCACAAGGTATTTAAAGAAGGAATGACAGCTCAAGCTTGCTGTCGATTGCATTAGCCTATCCATAGCCATTTGTGAAGCGATTTCTCATTTCCAATTTGACAACGAAGAATGGTTTACGTCATAAGTGTCATCAAACGCCCTCGGTCTTGAGTAAATGACTCACAACTTGGATTATTTTCTGTGACACACATGAATCCCAACTCAGGTGTACAAACGCTCACTCCATCCGTACTTCGTTTACTCGTCGCGGCAACTTGTGTTTCCTGCATGTTTTTTTATGAGTTAAGGGAAAGTAGTACAAATAAATTTGCATTGCTACGAGGTGGGCTTGGGTGTGAGTTACATAAATTCACTGCAGTTGCATTATAACTTGTTGGACAAACTTTAAAACCCCATGCTATTTGCTTTTGGTAAATCATTTCATGGGTGTAAGGTTTAACCGCTGCCAATCTCGACTGACCTTTGACTAGTTCATATTTTTAAACTGGATACTCAAAATTATCTCTCAGCGGGAGACCAATACTGAGCAGCTCTGGGCTGTTAAAAGGAGACCTGCGTATGGGATGATGCATCACTTCCGCTGACAGAAGAGCGGAAAGCTCCCTGTAACTTCCGTCCGTTATAGGCAAAAAAAGATCCTACAAAAACTTGTTTAATGGTAAATCATTATTTTGCCACTCCATCGTATGTGGTAAGTCTAGCCTAACTACGCGTCTCTGCAATTACGATCCCTCCCACATCTAGGTGTGAGCCGCAAGGTGTCGTCGGAGCATAAAGGCACACAAAACTTTGATTCTCCCCTTTTTACTGAAATGTACCCGATTTAAAGGAGTGATGGAAGAGAAATTCCAACTCCATTTTGTCATGCAGGAGTTAGTCTGTAGTGGAGTAAAGGGATGTGGTTATGGGATGAAGTAAGGGAAACATGTGAAGGGGTTGTAACTACGCAGACTGAACTTTATAAGGAATAGACATTCCCGTTGATTAAAAATGCAGAGCAATTGGCGAATAACTCTTGTAAGTAATTAATCCAAAGGCACCCATGCTTCATGGATGTGCATATTTTTGTGTGCGACTAAAGTTGATAGGAATGTTGGCTGGATTTCCCTTAAGGATTGATTACTTAGACCATCAACAACTAACGATGTGTGCTCAATGCATTCCTATCTGTGGTCAAAAAGAGTCGATTTTCGTATTGCCCACTCTTACAAAAGTGAGATAAAAGGGACTTATTATCTCTGTTTACTTCTTCCCATAGCAGTATGAATATAATTAATGAGGAAGTTCCCATATCATCTAGCGTAGCATCTTTCAAATCAGGAGAGTGCCATTAGAAGGGAATTGGATTTCAAAACTTATGCTTTTGAGAATGAGCGAGAATGCAGCTCTTACAGTAGAAGGCCTTATTTAAAGATGGGTTTAGACAAAGGAGCAGGGAGCAGTCAGTTTTTTCTTGCCACAATACACATGTTGTTCTATCCGGAAATTTTGCATCATACCCTTGCAGCACAAGCTCACATATGTAAATGCCGCTCTTTGGGATGGGATTTTCATCATCTTCAAGCCCGTGTGTTCCAAATAAAGTTGTTGACTGATTTGGTGATAATAATGCTGATTTTGCACAGCGGTTGCACTAACGTGGAGAAATATCAAAGCAGCTTGTGTGAATTTGATAACTTTAACAGTTGTTGTAATGCGTGAGCTGTGCTTGGGGGCAATAAATTTAACAATTGCATATTGTTGCATAATGTGGGCTCATTAAATAAAATTGCTGCATAATTTAACGTCGTCATTGCTCCTCGTGCATTCCTCCATTCTGACCAACCAGCACAATGAACTCTTTTATCAGTTAGCTTGACTAAATACGTGTACTAGTAAAATGCTACAGTTGTTTAAGAATGTCTTATGTTCCACTTGGTGAACATATTGAGAGGGGGTACTGTGGTCTACTGGGTGGTCCTCGAGTCAAATTTTTGGGAGTTGGGTACGTTGTATGCTGAAGAACGCGGCAGTCACAGTAAATCATAAAGCATTTATTGAATATTTTCAGTTAACACAAATTTCTGAAATTAAGCAATTGCGAAAACTGGACCTAATGAACAGATAAATGCACGAGATGCTCAGACATGTATTGGCGTAGTGGCAAGTAAAAGGACTTAGGAGAGGGTAAATTCGCCTCGTGTGGAAAAAGTTAAATCATCTTAATTCAAAGGTCGTAATTCTGTCAAAGAGGCCTTAATGTTAACTAACACTGCTTTGTCAAGCAGAAGCGAACACAGCTGTTGAATCAACAAGTACTGAAGTTATGCATTACTTGCTTTTCAGAGACGCTAGTTCCGGACCCTCCTACTACGATCTCAATCTATCAGACTGTCTTCGAGCCGTTCAAAAGGTATGTTTCCTTCAGTCACTTCTTATTAAAATAGGAAATTAGCATGAACCGTCCACCATGCTTTAAAATTATGCATATGCGAGCCATGAGATCATCCATCTGCAGTGATGCATAAATTGGATCTGTTGCTTTAAATAGTCTTGTGTTCTTCAAGCTTGGAATTAGAGCTTTGTATTTGGATCAAGTTCAAGTGAATGAAAACCTGCCACTTTGCCACTCAACTAGTTTTTAATCCGAGCATAACTTGCTACTTATTTGTCTACTTAAATAAAGGGGATACTTTCATTTGTGACGTCAGTGCCCTTTGTAAGCAAGACACTATGACCCTGGTTTAATAGATCCTTGCCTTAAAATGGTCGTTGAGTAAACTAAGCACCTTACCCGACTTTACAAATGTCTTTAATAAATTGTTAGTTGTGTGGCGTTCCTTCCATACTTGTAAGTCCTTCTTCAAGAGACACTTCACATCTAGGAATAAAATTTAAATCCACCTTCTAGGCGAATAAAAGACGTTTTTAATTAGAGCCCATGCTTGGTGTGAAGAGTGATAGGTAGTCCCCTTGCTACTCAGAAAGAAAACTTGAGAACAAGAATTGATTGAGGGGTTCAATAAAGACAGCATCATATTTCGTCACATAAGCATTTTTAAAACTCTCCTTTCAATTGTAATGAAATGTAGTACTTCTTTTGAAATGCCTTTCAGATTTCACTGTCACTCCCTAGAAAACACAATTTTTAGGCGCATAAGTAGGGATGGGGTTACGTATCTGGTATCTAGGCGAATTCTTGCGCTCGAATAGGGCATCTGAGCTGAGGATAAAAAAACTATGATCGGCTGGAGATGACTCAAACGTAGTGGTTGAAAGCCTACATTGGCATTGGCATTTTTCCTAGTCGAGCCTCATTTTGAGTTGTCATGAGACATTAATGTTGGAGTGATGAATCGTGGATGGTGTAGATGTCGTTGGCATGGTCAAATAGCATGCTGTCGATGAGGCGAACTAAATGGGCCCGCTACCCGCACGCGATAGGTGGGAGGGGATAATCGGTGCGAGATCCCCAGATCAAAGCATAAATCTCCATTCGCACAGGAATGCTGTTTGTTATTAAAATGTTAGTTCCAACGCAATTAATTGCATCACAACAAATTCATTAGACGTTCCATCTATTTTAACAGCTTTTCCCAACAATTACTGCAAGATCTGTATTAAAAATGAAATGAGAGAAATCTTAATGTCTTGAGGCAATAGGAAGCAAAGGCGTTTAGCAATACCGAATTTCACATTGAGTGTTACATCGGTTCTCCAACTTCCCATTCTCCTTCACTGCCACCTTCATTCGGTTTTTTCCTCAACCACATACATTCTCACTGATAACAAGTTTCGCATGTCAAGTGAATGAAGTGGATTTTTTAAAAAATCATATTGTAGTTGTTCACACTCCTTTTTGTTTTTAAGGTCACACTCCAAGTTAGAAGAGCTTTAATAGTGTGAATTTGTTCCTTTCCAAAGATTCACCCAAACTTTTGTAAAACAGTTGAATCGTCTTTTAACTGCAAGACGATTGGTTATTCAGCATTCACATGCTTTGTGTTTCCATCTGTTAATAATATCCCTGATGGGTATTCAATTCCATTCGATTTGTAGCTACCATCTTCGGTTTTGCTAAGAAGCACACAAAAAGGTGGTATTCCGCATTCTCTGTCGAGATTTTCTCTCGAATTAGGCAATAGTTTCTTTGTTACTGTTTCTCCTTATCCTCACTCTGTCACTCAACTTCACTCCCCATTTTGATCACATAGGCAGAATTATGGTTTCTTTTGATGGATAAGACTTTTGGAACCTATGGCCTTCAATAAGTGTGGCTAAAATGACGAGCATTAGTTAGTCTTTTATTCCTACCATTTATCGGACCAACTGACGCTTCCTACGCCCACTGTCCACAGAAGAGCGCGTAAGCATCTACACTGAAACACAAAATCTTAAGTACAGGAATTGTACAGACGTGTTCTTATTGAAAACTTTGATGTTAAAAATGAGGAATAAGCTCAATACCACCCTTTGAAGACTTCATCTATTAAGGCGATAACAATGTAAGTCTCCGTCTAACTCAATCACTCTACGTACAGAAGGCTGTGATGTGCAATTCCTCTCCCAAAGGGAGTTGAAGGATGCAAGTCGTGCATTTTTCATTGACCTAGGTACCAATGTTGTGACACCATCTCCTGTGTTCTGTTGATTTGTTTAAGAGTCACTTGAATTTCTCGATTATTAATCCTTCTATCCAAAAATTACTTTAAGTAACCCATATTACGTATAGGAAAGTGTTATTTTAGTACACGAAGAGTCGTTTAAAGCCGCTACTTATACTGGTAACCTAGGTTATGCACTGTCTCCATTGTTTTTTCCTTCCTGAGATTTGTCTCTGGACAAAACAAGGTTTGAAGAGACCAGTCTCATAAATTCGCCAAATGCTTACTGAGTAGTTAACCGGGACAAGCATTCAAGGGATTTTCTGTTCCCTAACAAGATTTGATGCATCCCATCATCACATCACCGTACCACACAGCTTGTGCTTTTAGGAGAGAATGAAGAAAACCACAAACATAAGTATCACTCCCAACTGAGGCCCCACGACACAGTTGAATGCACTCAAAATAGTTTTTCACCGCTACAGAAGGAGAGTAATAGCACAACTTTACTGACGAAAACAATCCATTCATGTGAATTTCACCATCGTTCTCGTGAATCACAGGCCTGAGAGCAGTCACATTGTCATTCGAGACTAGAGGTAAAGCCCTGCCCACGTCTTCTGCAGGCTGATGGGAAAAGGAAATTCGGTTATTCTGCAATTCACGTGATATGCCTACTAATTTTTCCTTTGTCTTTACGAGACCCAAATTCAGTTTAGGATCTTCCCAGGGCATAGGGCTAGCTTTGTAATCAGCATCACACTTCATTCGATGAATTTAGGGGGTTTAATATTCACCTCCAAATAGAACTCTATCATTTTTGTTCACTTTGCCTGCAGAAATGGCACAAAACCTATGAAATTTTTTTCTTAGCACCTTCACTAGTATGATGAGGCAATTTACTTACCTTCATAATGGCCTTGTCTACTGATCAGCTCTCCGCTTTTTTTAAACGCATTCAAGTCGACATGACGTGGGCGATGGGTCGGCGTACGTGCACAAAATGCCATGCCTTTGCAGAGCGTACAAGGGACTGTTAAGTAGTACGCAAACAATGGCACCCACCACAATTACCATGTTTGTGGCATTCTCCTACAAATTTGTGTTGCAAAAAAATGACTTTGATTCACGACAAATGGAAGCTACTTCACGGCTATGATAAGGCAAATATGGTCAGGTTCCTAAGTTAGGAGACAGTAAGTCCCTTAAATACCTGCATCGCCTGATACAGATATTAAGTTTGACTTAAGTTCTAATTTTACTTGCTTACAGTTGAAAGTACTCAGAAGTGTGCCACTTCGAAGATGTACTGAAAATGTGGAAAATCTGAAGTATATTGAAACAGGCATGACAGATTTGCCTTAATTAATATGGAATCCACAATAAGTAGACATACTTATTGAAGAAGTGGATTTGGTATGTATTTAGCCCTATATTAGTGTCGCCGCATTTTCAGTGGCCTCTCGGAAGATTGACTTTGTTGGTGCTAGAGTGGTGGTGAGAGTTGCGGTGATTGTGAGGTCTGTGCAGATGGACAGATATTACAGCGAGTCGCCTACCTTTGGGTTTGAAGAATTCTAAGCAGTGCGCCCAGCGGTTGTAGGTGTCTTTACAGCCCTTGGTTGCTTTCTCCTTGACTCTGCAAAAGAATGCATCCTCATCAAAATAATTACATTCAACGCTTAGACCCTCGTTGTCGCATCACTCATGGGCTTCGATGGCATGAACCGCGTTGCCAAACTCACTGTCGATTGATCCTCATCGTCAAAGGAGCCATTTAATACACTGCAGACATCCATTTATTTTGTCCAACCCTAAATGCAGTGTACATAGGAGCCAGTAGATTCAAAATGAGCCCGAAAGAGAGCTAACCTTCTATACTTAGTGAAGGCTTTAACTTCACACAGTCGACTTGACATAAGTGCCACCTTACATAACTGTTTCCTTTTCAGGCCGTCCGCTTTGGCTTCCTGGACTTCGATAATTTCGACCTGGAAGACTATGAATATAATGAGGTGGGTACTTGACAATCGCATCGCATTCGAGCGACTGATTAACTGTAATTATATTGTCCACTTACAGAAGGTGGAAAATGGTGATCTTAGTTGGATTGTGCCAAATAAATTCATCGCATTCTCTGGGCCTCACACAAGGACAATGATTGATAATGGTAAGGCCTTTTATGATTCATGCAAGTTTATTAACTGATACAGCATTTTACTTCACTTTTCAAAGAACGAATAGACCAACATGGTCTGTTCAATCTGCATGTAGGACTTCTTTGAAATGCATTGTTTGACGGGAAACTCCTTTAGACTTGGCACCAAAATGCTTGTAAGGTCTGAAGTGTCGAAACGTCTCCAGTGGATTATTAAATGACTTTGAAATATTGTTTTGCGATTTACCAACTCTTTGTTAGTGTGCTAATTCTCGTAACCATTCATTATTCGTTTTGTACTAAAATGGTTGAAGATCTGCTTGACGAGCCTGGATAGATCAATTTACCTCCTAATTGAAGAGAATTTGTAGGCTGTATGCAGTCAAACTTGGCAGATTTAAGCAAACGTGCTTCTTCTTGTGCGGTTCATTCATGTGATCCGGTTTTCAGGCTATCCTATGCACGCACCAGAGTTTTACCTTCCGTACTTTCGGAAGAACAATGTCACCAACGTGATTCGGCTAAATCAGAAGATGTACGAATCGCATCGATTCACTCGAGCCGGTATCGCTCATCACGACCTCTTCTTCCCTGATGGTACCGTACCCACCAGAGCCATCACTCTACAATTTCTTGACATCTGCGAAACTGCTCCTGGAGCAATCGCAGTTCATTGCAAAGGTAATGCCATCTGTGGACTATAGAGGGCTATCCAATACATCAAGTGTGCAGTTGACAACCGGCAAACCCTGAAAATTTCTCTCATATCTAAGGCGTGTATTTTTGTCTTTATGGTGTGGCGGTCAAGTGTGCTATCATCTTATTCACGATTAGCTTAAAGATATTGCAGATGCACGTGACAGCAGTTTGTTCCTGAGGATACACCTTCATTTGCCTTAATTGTCATGCTTGTTCAGGTAGAGGAAAGAATATTTGCAAAAGTGTGGGCTGTGTTGAGTTGAGACTTTTTTAAGTTATGCAAAATTTGCGATCTTTTGGAGTGAAAAGGAACTTGACGGTCACGTTTTCTTGGTTGCAACGACTGAATGAATGATTCTTTTAATTACTTTAAGTCTTAAAATATCTCTCAAAAGAGGAAAACAGGTCATCTGGCGATATTGGCTACGCCACATCATATTAGTCTCTTTGTGGTTAATTTACTTCCCTATTTAACCAAAGGGGCCTTAGGATTGGATTACTTGCGAGTATTGAACCATCCAAAAGATATCAAACAATATTTTTGGCAGAAACCTCAACAGCATCATCACTTCGGCTCTTGAAATTATTTAACCTATTGCTATTTGAAGCGTGCTACAATTCACCACTGAGCCAACTGCTATTGCTGTTATAGGCTTAACTTTTATGATGAACAATGAAAGCGGTTGTGCTTACCCATTAAAATTCAACCGATAACCACATATTCCTGGCACAATTCGAAACAAACCAGGTAATTTAGTGACAAAGATTGCCACTTATGATTGCCTTACAGTTGCAATGACCATTTGAGTTTTACCCTAAGACAGTAACAGTGAACGACAGGCGATGGCTCCCTTTTTAAGGCAAGTCTAATGGTCAAAGGAGCTTAGCACACCCTTGAACCTAAAGCCTAGGCCTACTCAATAAAACATTTAAGGCAAAGCAAAAAATCTGTGCCATTTAACCGTTCCCATGGGGAGAAAAATTGTAGATCACCACGTAGAGCCCACTTGACTAGATAGGAACTTTATAGAAACTCTCCCTACAGTGCCAAATTTTTGCAAGACACGTCTTCTATTTTCCTAAAATATTTGTTTAAGGGCTACATTCTCAGAGTCTCAGAACCTAGAAATTGAAGGTCAGGAAATTATCCAAGTTGCTTACAGTATTGGCTACGAAACCTAGTGGCAGACGTCTTGAAGTTGTGCCTGACGGGGTTCTATAAATACTTCGGTATGCTGGCGGTACAAGAGAGCCGATGGGCTTTATGCACAGTGCGTTGGTTATAAGTTTAAAGCAAAATAAAGCCTTGATTAAAGTGAAAGGAATTCATTGAAACGACTGTTACCTAACTAGACTACTAAATGCTGACGTTAGGAAAACCCAAAATTAACTCTTCCTTATGGTCCAGAGTGCGCCACTTAAAACCAAACTTCGGCCACATAATTGGTGATACTTTCGATGCCAAAACTGTTTTACTTCAGGTAACTTCAATAAAAAGATGGCGGGCTTTACTTCTGACTACTTTAAGCAACTAATTTAACTGATGAGGCAGTGATAATGTCCGAGATGCGGCGTGACTTCTTAATAGTGCGTGGAACATACCCAAAATGCCACTTGCAGTCTTGATTTTCTGGAAGGAGCTTGAAGGGGTACATAATATTGCTGGCATAAATTACCGCTTGCCTTCTCTCACCTGTACTTTAAAGGGTTCGCTTCATGCGCATTTCGATGGGAGTGTGAGGTAAAGGTTAGGTGGTAGGACCTAAGGGCATTTTAAGTCAGTGAACTTTCCTGACACATTAATGATCAAATGTTTATCACCCTCCTTGATCCTATGCACATCTGATCTTATTGCATCCTTCGCAGTGCTACACTCATAGTCTCTATACTGGGATAGTTCTTGATCTCCTAAAGGCTTCTTAGTTTGCGAGATCGTTTCTTTGGAAGGAAGCTGCGTGCGTACAAGCAAATTAGTGGGACAGAGGTTTCTGGTAGGATTTTTAGGGAGTTCAGTCCGACAAATGAGAGGCTTTTCCATCGATGAGTCCTTTGGTTGGCTAAATGCAGGCAGTACTACGATGGTTAGTTCAACTGTCCTAACTTAAATATCATTTCTTTCAGGATACTTTAACTTACTAAAGGCGTCTAAGCTCAGATCCGAAGCGAACTCAACACACCTTTATTGCACTACTAGTTTGGTTAGGAGTAAAAAACATGAAAGAGAAAGCAACATAGCATCGTTAATAAAGTTCACTTCACTCGTAAATGTTGTTTTATCTTTTGGATAACTTCACGTGCATTCGTCAAGAAGCTTAGAAAACAACTATTGGGAAAACATCTTTGCGGTTCGAATGGAAGTGCTTCCAAAACGCCAAACATTTCTGTGTGAGTAACTCAACTCAGTTTTTTTCAACTTAAAACCTATCTTGAGCAGCCAAAATATTAGTTGCCATGGCGAGGGTGCCCCGGGTTAAGCCCTTCCATAACCTCAGAAGGGTGGACTGAACGAGGGCACTGTGAACACCAAACTAATAATTCTAAAGTTAGCAGTAAATTTTATTGTGTTAAGACAGCAAACAGTGGAATCGCACTTGAAACATAAGTCGAGCTCTTATATATATCTGCATATATATTTGATATTTGAGGTAGTCATTTTTAGGTCCTCATAAATAGTATTTGCCCTTAAACACCAAATCAACAACTCAATTCATTAATTAGAAAAGTGAACAGACCGTATAGACTTGCCAAGCTCTGCATTTTATAGGATAGATCAAACTTTTGCTACGTCTTTAAAAATCACTAAATCAAAATTGACGTGGGAGCTACTTTGGAATGGCGACGCTATTTGTAGTAGTTGTTTTAAGGCGGCACTGGGCCAGGTTTCGGAAGTCTAGACTCTAAGCGAAACCTTGGGAAGACTGGAAATTCCAAGACATCAATTGGTGAGGCGCAGGTAACGAGGGGTACATTAAAAGGCTCTAGAAGGATGCTAAATCGTCTAATGCTTTAAGTCCCTGCGTCTATAAGCCAAGTCATAAAGTTGTTATTGTTTATTGGTAACAAGTCCGATGTTAAACGTTACTACCGTTTAATGTTTGTTCTCCAATGCCTAAATCTTTCTTATCAACTCCTCCTCTGCATTGTTTGAAGCATGGTCGTGCGATGCCCTCTTGTAAACCGCCTTTGAGCATGGGCTAGCTAAAGCCCTTCAAGAGAGCCTCAACTTCATTTTACTCAAACCCCCACTTAGCTCCATCGATACAGCCTCCTGAGAACACCGTGCTTTCACTAGATGGGAAAGAGTGGTACGGAGTCACTTTTCCTTAAATCACTTTTGCCTTAAATAGACCAAAGTTTTGATGTTGAGAGTAAAATAAAACCTTTTGCGAATCTTCGATGAGCCTCAATGTCTTCTTCCCTTCTTGGGCGATTAGGTTTAGGCTTTTTCTGTAATTAGAAAATTGTAGGATTACATTCGCGCTTTGAAGCAAACAATGCCACGGATCTGGTTTTGATGTGATAACTGCAACAATCACAGAACATCCAAAATCAACACCTTTTCGGTTCTCAAAAGAGCCAAACTCGTTCAATTAATATTTTATCTGCTTTGCAATGCGGACAATAGAATTTCATTTGCATAAAAAAGTCGTTTGGGGCAATGTTGGTGAAAGAATTTGAAATATCTCCCTTGTTAATTCAAACAAATTAGAGCAACTTTCCAGTTAAGGAGTAATTTTCGGCTTTGAAGTCGAGCAAGTCAGTACAGAATGTTTGCAATTAATATTAATGCATATAACTGTTTTAAACTCCGTCATTTGATTGTGATGGCAGGATCGGTCTTAGTAATTGTTCGCTTGCTTCTTTAGCTGGTCTCGGTCGAACTGGAACACTAATAGGTTGCTATCTGATGAAGCATTACCATTTCACTGCACCTGAAGCAATAGCATGGATCCGCATCTGCCGACCCGGTTCCATAATTGGTCAACAACAAAATTGGCTGGAGGATCAACAGGCCTGGTGCTGGGAGGAGGGTCGACGTGAGCGCCGAGAGAAATCTCCCTCACCGCTACCAGTGCGTCGTAGGAGGGATTTGGTCGACGCGGACATTGGCGCTAATCATCTCTCCCGGCCCATTGGCAAAGTCATTTACATCAATGCAGATCCGTTAAAACCACTGACGCAGGTGCGAGATGACGCAGTGCTGAGGTAAGCCAACGGAACATAGATTACGCGAAATTGAATTTTCTTCTGCTAGGACCAGTGGACACTTTACTGCAACTAATGTCACACTTAGGTTAAAATGAGGAAACGATATGACTGAGTCCAGTTCGAATGCGTAAGCGACAAATTTAATGAATGACAAATGTCGACTGTTAAAAATACTAAAAAGCCTTGGCTTTGCTAATTGAAATTTCTCATAGACTCTGTTGGCAAACGCGTGTTAGGCGAGACCGGTGTAACTTTGAATGGCCGACTAATAAACATTCCCCTAGTTTACTTCAGCAAATTACCTTTCGAGTGTTACAAAATAGTCATTGTTAAGCGGGAAAAACTTTACATGTTAAGCAACTTCTTCTCGGGTTGAACAAAAGAACTTAAGTCTGTTTGGCCATTTTCGAAAGCCTGAAAGTATTTAAGTCGCAAGATGAGTTTCCATTTTTTCTTTCTTTCTTATGTCAATGAGAAACTGACATGTCTGACAAACTTTATAAATAAATAATTTGCCCTAATGGGAAATCAGATCCCCTTTTGAGTTTCGTGAATTTTCACTCCCTTGAATGGCACAAATGCTCATTCCCATTGTTGAGAGTTTTCAGAAATTTTTGGGCGGTTTTTGTTGAACTTCTCTGTTTGTTTTACCAGATTTAACTGAATTGGATAAGATTGATGAGACACCTTAAGAACCCAGTAAAATGTAGTTTCTTAACCTAAAGCAAAAATACCTCTGAGATTTGGCGGCTTGGTCCTATAGCTCACGAAGTTTACTGTTCAAGACAATCCAACACACCATTTTGGATTAATTCGTCATGTCGGAGCGCTAATTTGTAGCACAGGATAATCCTATTTATGGTAATCAGCACCGATGAGTCCCAAACAAAGCAGAAAAGAACGGATGACGAGACAGCCATTGGGGTGGGGTGAGGTTCATCCAATCATACTTACTATCATTGTTTTGGCAGGACTGCAGTCCAGGAGAATATTTAATCAGAGCGGTAGTTTACAACTGGATGCCTACGGTATCCTCATTCAATATGTACAAATCCCACCACCCTGCCTTTTGTCTGCTCTATCAAATTGGAAGGAGGGTGGAAGTCAGTACGCTCTCCACCTACCTTTCAACGCATCAACAACGGGTTACGGAATAATTTTTTTTGAGAATGGATTACAAGAGAACTTCATTCTAGTGACATTATGTAAAGCTCATCTAAGTGGTTACTAAGTCGAGGGTAGAACGTAAATTCGCATTCAAGCAAAGGCACTTTCGTCCTTATAATTCGTAATGATTCCATCTTTTTACCCATTTTTAAGGTGTAAATTTATTGTTCAGGTGAAGCTTCACGCTCTACTTTTAACGCTCCGAAACATTGAGTTAATAAAATTTCCTCAAATTTTCGTCGTTCTATCGCTGACAACATAACCGTAGGAGGACCATTACGCTCACTAACAGTGCAAGTCCATGAGAGAATGTTTACTTTGTGAATGCTTTGCCCCTCACGAAACTGTTACAACATCGCGTGGCTGCGAGTTCATTGCTTTAACTTTGATCTTTTCCTTTGAACTGATTCACAATGCCTCTAACGTTTCATATCCAAAAACTACCTGAGTGATGAAGAAAATTCAGTGTTCACAACATCTTCATTCCTCCGTCCGTTGTGTCACTAGCTTAAGCAAAGGTGCTGTCTGATCACTCCCGTCAGGAAATACTAAACGCACATCGTTATTGTAAAAGCACCAAAAGAGCAAGATACAATTACGGGCTGCATTTTAGAAATCCGACAGAAGTCATTGATGACAGACTATGATTTTAACGTTAAGTGGACAGAAAATGAATAATTTATAGGTTAGAAACAGGTCACAACATGCAGTGAATTATGATTGCCTTGGCATGATGACAAAACTGACGTGAAATAACGCTGTTTAACCAACTAATTGACTCTATGGCTATGTCTCCAGAATTTTGGCTCAACTATGACGTTGCTATGGTTTACACAAGTAAGAATGTTAAATCCTTCCTGACTAATAGCTTTGCACCAAATGAATTTCCTTCTGTTTGCAGTCGTCTCATATATTTGCATAATTTTTCTTATTGAAAATCGCATCGGCGGTTACTTAGTTCATTACACTTGTAATTGCCTAAGAGAATTGATGTGCTGCCAGCAAATGTTGATTAAATAATTCACTGAGTGTTATAGCATTTTTACTTAGCATGAAATACTGCTTGTTCGCCTTCCTCAAATCTAGCTACACCCCGAGTGGATTGGCTTCCTCTCACACACATTGGCTTAGAGCGGTTCAAATCAGTTCTAGAATGTTGGTAGATCTACCAAATAACTGACAATAATTGACCCGGGGCATGATCCTCTGACCATTTGGTCGCCGTCACACCGTGTAACACGTGAATTAGATACATTGTTTGTAACGAATTGTGTATTTTCCAATCCGAAAGCGTTATTTGCATAGGGTTAATGCAACGCACGGGATGGATTTCATGGACGTCTCATGCATGGGTCAGATTTATTCTTAACTCGTCTTAGGGCAAGATTTTGAGGTGCAGAGCAGACTTAAGATCACTTTAAACGGAGGTTTGTCTGAACACCATCGGACATGGAAATGGACATGGACATGGACATGGTGACGATGATGATGATGGCCACAATCTTGTAAGCTCCATTTGCTTTGGTTCCACAAGTTGTCAGCTGACTCCTTCATCCCGAATTGGTTCAGCACTGTTGTTCCGATTGACAACCAAAGTTTAACACTTCGGTCATGAGCCATAGTGTTAATAGCAGTGTGTATTCCCTCATGCGCAAACATAAAAGCTGCTTCTACGTGCAGTGTAACCATCTTTCACCGGTTCATTACCATCGTGAAAGAGGTGCAAACCTGTCGTATCTGAGGAGCGTAAAATGCACGAGCCTTATAGTGCATACAAATGATGATAGTTTATGGATTTTTACAAAAAACTGTTGCATGAACTCGCTTTTTGCCCTTTTTTGGCACAGTGCCTGCAATTTTGCACATGGCATTTGGGTGCTCACTTATTTTTTACTTAATACCATCAAATTATTGAATATCAGAGGTGGAAAATACGGCGATGGGTATGCAAGTGTGTGTGTTTAAGGCACTTCGAAGCACTGTTTCTTAAAGTCAGTAAATTTACCCGCCTTTTTACTCCAATTCCCTAGTTATCAGGTCTGCAGATAAGTGGCAAGACAACTTTTCTGTAAATAAATCGTCCCTTCATGGTTACAAATATTGAATTTGATGGCACTATAAGGTAGCAGGTTGTTGCAGCCCCCTCTCAATCCCTCATGCATCTTTGCCTCCATTTTACACATTGTGTCCACTTCTGGAGTCATAAGTTTCCCTTAAATTTTTTTCTTGAATCAGACTTGGTGGCATAGACAGCAGTGGTGACACCTCACAGACACCTCTTTCTACAACCTCTTCAACTAACGACCAAGTGGAGGTTCTGGTCAGCTCTCGACCCAGGGTGTATCATCACAAAGTTCAGATGGCTGGTCGTTCCCAGTCACCTCCTGTTTATGGAACTGGCGGTGAGGAGTCAAACGACAGCAATGAACCGCGTTACTCACCAGGACCTTCCAGAGATGTTAATGGTGCACGAATGGGTCTTGGTATTGCGGCTAGTCGCTGTAAGTCCCCTGTTTTCCCGTTCAAGGTAATTATGTACAGATGGAAGAGATGTTAGGCTGGGTCGTGTGACAGATTCTGGGTCAAGTAAACAGCTAGTAGCTTAGGTGCATTCAACTTTTATAATTATTTGAGGTCCATGGTTGGTCTTCAGGCTCGTTGCTCCCTCTTTCTAATAAGAGACTTTGCAATATGCTCGGACGGGACAATGAGAGTGAGATTCTTGAAGCATTTGTAAAACAGCTGTAAATTCAAAGCAAAAGAACACCTTGAAACGCTTTTCCATTTTCCGCCTACAAGGTGTGGAAAAGTCGTGCCCTTTTGCTGGACCACTCACAAAGTCTCAGGTTTCACGTGGTACCGTACTATGTTGAACGTGAATTGCTACACAATTTGTCAGCAAAGTTTTTCAAGTTCTGCTTGGAATTTCGTCATTCACTGTTTAAAAATAGATGTTGCAAAATGGTTTTCCTTCAACACAAAATAACTTCAATGCCACCACGTCCCAATTAAAAAAAGGTAGCTGCCGTATTTCTCACTAAGAGTTAATATTCTCCTGCAACCCATTAGCGTTCATGTTTGACATAGTATCAACTTACGCTCAAAAGTGAAAGAATGGTTGCGCAAGTACGCAGCTGACTGGAGTAGAATGAAAAAGGTTCTGACACCCACTTTTTATTTGAGTGAACTAAAAGCCGTATTTCCGGTTGGATTGCAGGAGCCGGCTATGGTTTAATTCCGCAATCCGTTGTCCGAATTGTTACAGTTACAATCAAGGGAATAAAGGGTCAAAGGACTCTTACGCCATTGAAGAAAGAAGGAGACTAACTTTTTGCATTTGTTCAGCACAAGGTTGCATTTAGTGAACGGTGACGAGCACAAAAGTGGTGCATTCAGAACTTCTCACAACGAGAAGATTGAATAGGCACTGCAAATGTGGAACTAAGCAGAGCACCTTAGGAAAAAAAGCGATTTGCTTTCCCTTCTTTGTCTGTCGAGCGTTTAGCCAAACTTCTGCACGGCTATATTACTTGTGGTAGAAATCGTTGAAAGTACTGTAGGCATTTTGGCATTGAACTTTTGCTAAGTAGTCGAGAGGTCACGGTTATGCCTAGCTTAAATGATGTAAATATAAACGATAATCCAATTATTTAGGCTGCTTGACAAAGTGATTACGAGACCATAAGGAACGATCCTTGGATTGCCCCTTTGCATACCATTTCGTGTGGATTGCCCTACAAAAGGTCGGGTTTAAAGCCATATCAAATTCGCTACAAAACATTAAAGTATAGTAACAGTAATTTGGTGAATTCGCCACAAAACTTGATTTTAATGACCTAAGGGACTGTGTAGTGTGGCGTGCATCGGCGTCTCATCGCCTGTTCTTCCATCTGCGTTTCAAATACTACTTTTTGGAGGTACGTGCACGCAATACGTGCACGATCTACAGCGATTTTGGACTCACAGCAATCTAACATTTTCCTAGCACAACAGTTAGAGCTGACTAGTGCTGCATCTTTAGGCCTGTTCTTTGACAGCTGAAACTCCTCCTTCCATTCCTCGCTTTTAAACCTCTAATTCCTTTGAAGTGCTACGATGAAATTACGCGTTTGGTTAAGCCTCGAGACGACTACCATCATTTGTAAATGGTGGCATTTGTGAACTGCACTGGTTTCCAAATGCCACAGCAGTGATGCGATTCACATCACAGAATCATTATTTAATAAGGTCACATTGGAATGCTGGATAGGGTTAAATGTCACGGAGTTGTGACAGTTTCAAAAAAGGCATCAGACTTTGTCGTAAGTGGCCCATTCAGATTGTAGCTAATTTCCTTCCTATTGTCTTCTGTTTCACAAAATCGCACATCTGGAAGTTCTACAGAAAATCGCATCAAAATAGCATAGTAATTATGCATGATTAGATAAGTACTGCATAATGACCATGCATTTTTCCGATTCTACACGCAGTTGCTATCATCCGTACAAGAGGCTGACTCTGACAAGTTGAGGCAAAATAACTGAAATAAAGAGGGTAGTAGAGCCTCCACTTTCACGATGAAATAAACAGCTTTGAATTGAATGAAAGTCAAATCGTGTTTGGTCATTTATTGTTTAAAGGTTTGAATATCGAAAACTAATTTTAATAAAGTAGGGTTAGTCACAAAAACATGGGAATAGAACATTCATTTGAGGTGAACTAACCTTTCATCTTCAAATGATTGACGGGAAACAATTAATTCCCTTTTAGTCATTTGATAAAAAGTCTTTTGAAGACAATTTTGGGGAGCATTCAGATGCAGCAGAGAAGAAAATATGTTCTGCATATAAACACGTAAGAACGTATGAGTAAGAAGAGCTTTCTTTAAAGTCATCAGTGGTCTTCTGACCCAAATCGCTGAGGTCGACATGAACCACCCTAAAATACATAATCAAAGCATTGTGGGCCGCTTGGACTGGTTGATTATTTACAATGAGGGATGTGGTGTTTCCTCAGTTATCTTTTGATCTCGAAGAGACTTCACTGTCTTATTTACAACCTTTATCTCATTTTGGAAAAGTCCTTTGCATTTTCGCCATCTTTCCTGCCTCTCTCAAACAGTGAGCGTGACGTTTGATGATGACCAAAACCACTTAAGTTGTTTTGTTCAGATAAGAGAATCAGTGACATATTTTTTAAGGAAAAAGCAGCTCAATTTATAGTGCCGTTTTGCAATTTTAATTTGCTCGTCAAACAACGCTTTGCTGCATGGGTAAATTTAAGTTTTACACACTCTGGGATGATTTCCACTAGTTAAATAGAATGAGTGACTTGTTAGCGGTAAGCAACATAAAAGCGGCCTTTGACCTCATTTAGCAATGGACCTATCTCAAAAGCCAGGCGCCTTCAAGACGACACTCACACAGGGCGACCAACTAAATCGTATCAAAGTTATTCGTAAGCGAAATAAACAACGCAAAGATGGCACTGGCAAAGATATCAACGCTCACTCCACTACGCAGCACCTTGCAAGTTCTTACCCCCATGCCGGCCTTAGTGGTGGTGTTGGCGATGAGAGCGGAGGCGCTTTGGACTTCAGAGAGATCTATAACCTGCATGACGAGGTCACTGAGGATGGTTCAACCACCGCAGAAACCTCAGACGTGGAGGCTTACAACCGATTTTGCTATGATCCCGAGGGCTCACAGCTACCTTCTGTTTTTTTCCACAATGTTACGCCTTCCCCATCAGCTGGCAACAAGGATCGAGTGGGAACTCCTGTCGGAGACTCTATTGATATTCAACCGAGGTATGTACGTGCTCATCCGTGCATTCACTCTTCTGCTTGTCTGACTTGATGGCACACACCTCTACCAATGTGCCTGCTTAGCTACTAGACTTCACTTGACTATGCTATCGTCCTCCTGTCTTATCCACCTTTGATTTGAAGATATTATTTCCTCGCTATCTTTCGCCTACTCCGAAAATTTAATTCATTTTGAAGCCGTTTGGGGCTTTCAGTTCGTTGGCCTACATGCTCGAGTTTCTGAATGTCCAACCATTAAGTTGTCATCCATCGACCTTGCTATGGCTCTCTCCATTTTTGGTTGCTTTTCCTTTTCTTTCTGACAGTTTATTTGAGAAAAATTCGATGATCGAATGGTAAACTTTCCGTAAAATACTTGCCCATCAGTTTTTCCCTCGCTGAACCTTGTCGATTCACCTCATTTTATTTGAATCCTCCGCTACAGCCGATGCACTCAAGGCGGCCATTTAACCTTAATGCTTATTTATGAGAACGTCAAATTATCAATTTAGATATATGCATGTTGAGGCTTCGCAAACGTAGGTGAAAACTTGGAGGCCTTACTGAGTCAGCAGTACTCTTGCAGTCTACTGCATCAAAGTTTTGGCCCTGATACATGCATCTAACACAATTATTCTTAAATTTTCACATAAACTATTTTACGGCTTAATTTCAGCCGCAAAACGGAACTGCAAGCTCCTTGCAAAACGGAGTACTAACTGCTCCACTAACTTACGTTTGTAGCACTTTCTCTGCAAAAAAGCAAAACTTTTCTGGGCGGTTACTCACGTGCAATCTATAAGGATGGGCCATGTTCTCTTTATTTCACAAGTTAGGACATAAAAGGATTAGCTAAATGTTCCTGGGTTAATGCGAGGTACGTGGATAAGATAATGTGAAGTTTTTTGCATAAATGAAACTTACTTGTCCCAAATATACGTTAGTTTAAACATTTAGAGTTTATTTACCTATTTGTGGACGCGTTTTTAGGTCATGTCAAGAGAAATACAAAACTGCTGCGAGAAAAATGGTCAGTTAATAGTGTTTTCTTCTGCTGGGTAGCGTACTTGGCTAAGTTCTCGAGTTGTTGGCAGGCTTGTGTAGTCACTTCAGGGAATTTTAAACCCGCTACATGCAGCCAAAAAAAAGCCTCTCATTTTTCTGAACCTCCATTTACTCTACACTTGTAAGCTGAAAAAAATTGTGAAATGTCCTATAAAACGCCTTTCTTTTCCCCTTATACCAAAGAAGGAGTTTTACCACCAAGGTTTACCAGTGCTTCTGTTTTGAGAAATAAACCTGACTTCCACTTCCCGGTAGTTTTGATCCTGCCTTCGGAAGCAATATTTTGCATCTTCTGACAGTTTTTTGCCCTCAAAACGGCCCATCCACACTTTCCTTCAACACTCGGTTAAACGTGGTGGTGGTCTAACCACCTGAAAAACTTTATTACTTGACATATGCAAACCCAGCTCCCATAATTTGCTTTGTAATTTTCAAACCGATTGACTTCACTACCACCATTACTTTAAGAGATTTATTTCACATTCACAACTTTACAACCCTAATTTACTGCAGAACAAATTGTTTTGATGTTTTGCTGTTTGTTGTGTTTTCAGTATGACTGGCACGTTAAGCTCACGCGATAGCCTAAGCAGCAGCTATCCGCGCACCCTAACTCCAGTAAACCTACCTCCTGCCACGGTCACAGCTCGGACCCCATCAGAGAGCAACGTTCGAGCGCTTCGAGGTAGAGGGATAACCACACGAGGCGGTGAGAATTACCATGAGACAGAGGATGGAGGCACTGGTGGGGCTGGTATTAGTGGAAGCAACGTTGGTAGTGGTCTACCTCGAACTGGTATCACCTCCACTCTGCCCATATCTACTTCTCGTGTGCCTCAACAGAATTCTCGCATGCCTACCGTAACCAGGTATCTTTACTTGGTTCAAGAGGTTTCACTTTACATTACGTATTATTTCATTGCGAATATAAGGGTAAAAAAGTGCAAAGAAGCGATCAATTCACTTTTCAAAGACAACTTTTTGTACTAACAAAATAACTTGCTCAGTCTCCCTCAAGCCCATTTTCAAACAGGGTAAGTCATAATTCAGATTTGTTAAAAAATAAGTTAAACAACAAATTAATGTCAATTTAAGTGATCTATAAAAAGACCAAGGTTACTATCATATTTAACAATTTCAACTTGTCTGTATTGATTAAGCACATCAGCTCTATTCAAGGTCAGACACAGAATTCGCTCTGCTTCTCACATTCATTGAGGTGGATTATTGACGTACTCCCTACCATAAAGTTTATACCTCTTCACACCCCATCTCCCACTTGTAGTGTGGGGTATCAGATATTTCCTGCATAATTCACGACGGCCTTTTGATGTTCAGAACATTTGATTATGAAAAAATGGTCCTCGATAAATGGATTTGTTGCTGTCATCGGCCCTGCAGATGATGGGATAAAGCAGTCGCATTTATTGGGAACAGATTTATAGTCTACAAGTTTTCACACCCAATTATCGGTATTAACTCTGTAACAGGGAAATTGCATAAATGGTCGACTTTAATTAGTTCGCTTTTGAGAATAAAAGGACGTAGTCTTTCACTTAGTACACAGTCGAGTACATTAATTGTTCTTGCTAAATGTGCGATGCGAATTGTACTTTAACAAGTTGTTCGATATGGCTTATCGCCCAGCACCTATTCTGAAAACGCAGTGGACAAAAGTTGCGCGGTTTAACATGCACTATTGGCATACAGAGGAGCCTGAAGGCCACTTTCATGCTCTGAGGCCAATTTCTGAGAGAGAACTTATGTCTTACGACGACTCAAGGGATTGTCCTTTTACAATGCCCACTTAGGAACAAAACAGAATGATTACATCATTAAGTTATGGCTTCGTACCACTACTCTTCGTCTCCATAACGATATAGCGTCTACAAAATCATTCTGCTACTTCCCAGTACGCGCATTAACTCTCCCCATTGCGTCTCGTTTGCACACCTCTCCTATTCCGAAAGAAAACGCTGGTGAGTCAAATCGCGCTTACCTAGAGAAGATCTTCCTGCCACTTTGTTACACTTTTCTGCGAGATATTTGTAATTAATGCGCATTTTATGGTTCTTTTTGGTCTTACTAAAATATATGCCATCACTTACAAGTTATTTTGATCTTTCTCTAGGAGAATATCAAGCAGCTTCCGTGTGACTAGCTGAAATTCAGCTTTTAATTTTCCCTCCTACCATATTAAGTAATGTGTTAACATTGTTGAAAGCAGTCATACTTGTGGAAGTCTCAAGGATTGAATGAGTATTAAACCCGAAATTTTCTATCAAACTCTTAAACAGAATCTTAGGGTCATGTTTGGTGAAATTATCTGTAGTAATCTGTTACACCTTAAAGGCACTCGCTAATTGTGGTCCATATGCAATGCATTGAAAAAATGCGTAGCTTTTAGCCTATTTTCCCGTCAGACTGGAATACTTCCACTACAAAATGGTGGTTGAAATCGAGTTGCTTTCAAATTTCTCGCTTTTTTGAAGTTAAAGTAGGCTCCATAGCTGAACACACACAAATCCTATCAGGTACATCTGCTCTATCGGGGTTTTTTTATTATTTCCATTGCTTACGTTCAAAAAATTTGCATATTGAAAGTGGGCTAGGGTGAGAATAAACTTTTCCATTTCAGTATCTGGTAAGGAAACAAAGGTATTGCCGGTTAGTTTTTATTCAACCACAAGTTGTGTCTTGTGGCGGACAGCACACCTTGGTACACTTTGAAACAAATTACGAGAGTGTGGGAAAATAGGCTTCTTCAAAAATCTCCGCTCTAGGTCTAATAATTTGAAAAGCCTGAAGTATGTCGACAAGATGTTTACTGTAGGATGAAACCGGATTCTTATCCCAATTTTCCGTATTTCCTTGATGATGTCCATTCAAGGGTTGTGCATTGCCTTGTAATTAGGCAATCATATATGAAGTGCATTTGAATAGAAAGTAGGAGTGACGTAAAACAGAGATGATTATGATTGATGCCATTTCTTTGCAGCTGAAGTGGGGATATTTTTAAAAGATAATACATTGGTGAATCAAGGTTTAGCCAGTTGGAATTATTTAATGGAGGCAATTAAGGAACCTTTTAGGACTTGCGGAATTCGTGTGACCGAGCCTCAAGAGCTGTTTATTGGGCAATCAAAACAGGAATTAGGTGCCTTGCCTCAAAATCCTCCCTCTTCCCCAGGTGTTACCGTAGAACTCTGCAGAAATATATGCTTTGAGTCCTTTTACAGAAGTGACTGCCCTTTCAAAGCCAGTGTGGGCATTCAACTGTCGACTTTGCGATGGTTGGCACAGGATGTATTTGACCATGAGATCCTTTGACGTACTTATCTTTTTCCCTTAAATATGCGAAACTAATGTTAGTAATTCCACGTTCCCTTTGGAGCAAAAACCAAAAGTAGAGGGTCGTCCATTTCAAATTCCCATCACACATTGGTTAACCTCAGACGAGATAACATCTTTTACAATCCCCACAGTGACTAAACTTGAACTAGATGGTTCCTCAAATTGGATGTTCTGCATGGAGCCTCAGGCATTTATTCTCCTTTTGGATAATTTTTAAAAGTAAACTACTTACTGCGCCTATGTGGTTGGTAGCGCTCTCAAAACCGCTGTCGTAGTGAATTGTAAGTTATAAGACTGGAACACTATTTGTATGACCCGCATTTAAAGCCTTCTGACGTAGGAACAACCTGCAAACACTGAAGTGATGGGGAATTTGTGCATTTAGCTTAACAAGATATCAAATCATTACACGCACCGAGTTAATAGTCGCAATGATACCGAATAATTGAGAGCGATGCGGCATCCCCGTCTCCCCCTACGCCAGCCTGTTGGTGAACCTCGCTGAGGCTCCACGGTCAGAGCGCATCGTAGTTCAGCCACTAGTCATCGGGGAATCGGCCTTATATGCAAACTATTTAATAAAATGTCTGAGTTAAAGGTCCTCCTCCTTGCCATGGCTTTGATATCAGTGCTGTCTAGTCTTCCCCCAATTTAGTCTCTAGTTACCCATTTGCCAAGGAGAATTGCTGTTAACTCTCTCGGCTAGCTTCATCATGTAAGAAGATGCTTCCCAATTTGTCAGACTCATCTATTACTTCATTTGTAAGGCGCACTCTGTAAGACACAGGATTTATATGTTTATGTAATTTCGAAGTCTTGTGTTCAATCTCTTCAGAATTTGGCCCGCACATGACGAGTATCCCCTTCTGTGATATCAAGGCATAGAAATAAGAATGTTTGTCATTTGGGTTCAAATGTGGTGATCATTTCCAACAAAAGTACGCTGAGGCTGTTGTTGACCAAAGCAACAGCACACCACTTATTAATGTACGGAATTATACCACAGGTCGAAAGTAAAGTGTAGAATCTGAGACGTTCATGCTGTTCTGTCAGAGGGAAGCTGCAATGTAGTCACTTAAAGGTAAAAGAGATGTTTAAGAAACTTTTCGATATCACAATTCACTGATTGCATTACTACCTCGAAAAATCAAATTGAAAATTATATTCTGGGCCTTGTTATCAACTTGCGTGAGAGTGATTAATTTTTATTACAACTTTCTATTTCTTGTGGGATTTCTGCTCTCACAGAGCAAGAGCATTCTCAGCATGCTGGAAATGGTTCGGTCAATTTATCATATTAAATCTTTTTAGATCATCACCTCAAAAGGTGCCTACGAATCGCGATGGACATCCGTTGATGTGTGTTAATTATGCTGAATGTCCAGAAAGCCTCTCTCCCTCTTCTATCAATGCGCCAACAACCGCAGCAGTCGCTGGAGGTGCAGGAGTCCGTAAACGTGTGGATTTTGCTCCGCCCCCACCCCCACCACCGCCACCGCCACCACTGCCAATATTATTGACATCCAACAGTCTGCCCACCTCAAAGATACGAAGCACCGCCGATACGTTCTACCAACGCCTCTATCATGCAAACAATAATGGAAAGAACGCTAATGCTAACACTAACATGGCCAGCAATGAAGTGGACGACAAGGGCTACTACCTACGACCTTATCGAAATCTCCGAAATCACAACAGTGGTGATTTCACCGTCATTAAGTAAGTATCTTTTAAAAAATGAAGAGATAGCATTATTGTCCGACTGTTGTGTAAGTAAAGGCTTGAATCTAAGGATTCGTCTAATTGCTTCGCGGCCTCTGCTCATTCGACTCATTAGGTCTGTTGATGTGATTACGTATGTAAGGTACCAATCCTTTTGTTTATTACTGTTGTTCACCAAACTTTGCAGTCGTTTTTCACCATAAATGGACATTTTATTACTTCATTATATAGTCTAAATAATTTTGCGTTATTGATAAGAAAAATCCACTAAAAGTCTGCCCCTACGAGTGAATTTGTTTAGGATTTGCAATATTCCTTGTCGTTGGGAAGTCTTTAGAACGACCTTTATTATTTTGTAGGGGAAAATTAAAAGCAAAACCTATCCCGTACATCTCTCTTAGTTTAGCTTTAAATACCCCAGCAGAAAGAAAATCTTTAAAATGGCGTTAGGTGGATATTATTGTCGGCTGTGATCACTTTTACTCCCACTGACTTTGAAGATTGTGAACAGGAAGGAGCCGCATAAATCTGCTGGGTTTGAAATGCAACCGTCTGTTTGGTAAAAGTATGGCGACGCTAATAGCTGGGCTGAGGTACTTTTGAAGAGTTGCATAAAATTCCGCTTCTTTCTTCAAGGATAGAGAATCCAACTTTTCCTTTACCCTTTCTCTTCTGAACAGGTTGACACTGCCTTCCACGTGGATCTCCTCCCCAGTACTGTCATATCCCCTTTCTCCTAAATAAGCATTGCCTTATGATGGAATGAGACGATTTCGATGTAAATTTACACCACAAGTTGGATAATTCATGTGCAAACCCCTCAGCTCTCCAGCGCAAACAAGTTGCATAAGTCCTAAGAACCGTGAGGGCCACATGGAAGAGCTGAGTTTTTCCTAATTATTATTGCCTGTAACGTTGTAGTTGGAGCTTCCACAGTAGGTGTTGGAAGGAGGAAGGTTTTAAAACCTTTTGCTTCCTTTTCAGTCGAGAGCCGTTAAAGTTAGACATAGTCAACGACCTTCTTCCAGTGCACTTTTCCCTTAACCATATCTCAATATTTGTTAAATTTCCACTTTTCTATGCAATTACCTCAAGTCAGGCGTATATAAATTACATATGATGAGCATTTTTATCTTTAGAATGCCTTTATTTTGTTGAGTAGTTAAAACCACTTGGCATTTTCAAAATGATCTTTTAAGTTAATTAACTGGACCTGGTGAGGAATTTGCAGAAAGACTTATGATCTAATGCGTAACATTAGCTCTATGATCTGCTCCATTTTTAACTTTTCCCTCGGGAATCCTTACTAAATCGTGAACTTTTGCCACATCCGCCTGCCGGGCGGTTGTCCGTGAATCTCCAAGCCCGTCATACACAATTGACCACATATTTAAACCTTTTGCCTACATTCCCAGGCTGCTCACTCGAGGCTACAGCATTCTCACACCGAGGTGATTTATCTACCTCACCTTTGGCAAAATACTGGATATGAGGCAGAATGCCTTTTCCTATTCTGTCATTTCTCCGACGGTGACACCCTTGCACAACGATTTGTGGGCACGAATGGGGGACACATTGAATTCTCAAAGAAATGTGTTTATTCCTCTACCTTCGCTCTTCCCCAGAAGAGAGTTACTTCGTTTACATTAAAAACAGCTTCTAGGACTGGCAGAGCTCTCCTATTCGAATATGTCAAGGGGACATTGCTTGATGCATTTATTTGTATCAAGAGTGTATAACTTAGAAACTTGAGAGAACAAACAATAATTTAAAATGAACACAGACAAAAATGGCGGTTGATAAAGTTCCCTCATACTTTTTGCAGCAATTCAAAGTTGTCCGCTAAATCTTTGTGCGTTCGCATGCGTTTTCACACCCTCCTTCGATGAGCATTTCTTATGCGCGGCAAAAAGTCAACATCGAATCTCATTTGAATACATTACAGACTTGCCCTTGTTTGATTAAATGTCTGAGGTTATTACTGTGGGCTCCCATCATGATCTTAGTCTTTGCCGCTTAGGCACATCATTTCAATGCTTCTACATTAAATCTGTGGTTGTTAATGGAATCTCTGAAACATATTTGTTTGAAGGTCCAGTAAGACGGAACAGTCTATTTTCTGGTAATATAACCCTGATCACTAAAACATTCCATTCATTTATTTTTCTGATCATACCCACCATGACATTTAATTGGAAACAGTACTTAAGATGGCATGCATCTGGTTGACTTTCTAACCCTTTCGTTAGGTACAACAACCCCAATGCTCACACCACAAACGGCCGAAGTAGTGGCTCCCGCGGTCCCTCCCCATCTCCTCTAGTTAGTTCTAACCAAATCAGTCGGCATCATGTGCGCAGCTCAAGTCTGAAGCCTCACGGCCCACCAATCTCCAGCAGTCCTGTAGTTTACGCCGACATCCAAACCAACTCCCCTCCGGAATTTGACTATCGACCACGAGCAAGTGTGCGTTAAGTTCTCTTTCGACTAATTTTGGCAACTTTTGCGGTCTTTAGGTTTTCTTGCCCTAGAATAGTCCTTTATATAAGGGGATTAATAAGCTCTATTGCCTTCTAAATCAGGACTTAGGTCCAAAGCATTTCTAAAATATGACATTATTGAAGTGGCCTTATTAGGATTACTTTAGCAAAAACTGAGAGACCTTTCAAACATGCGACATATCACCTTCGAGAAAAGGAGCTTTTAGCCGACAGGTCGGATCTTGTCTGCAATGCACTCCATACAAAAACACTACCATGACACCAAATTCCTTCAGCTGCTAAGTCACCGTCCATTTTTTTTTTGAAATTGAACATCAAATCAGTGTCAGCGCACTATCTTCATTTTAAGGCGCGTTTTTTTTCATTCTCGCCTCCATTAAAATACACCTGATTACAATTTTTTTAAAAGCATAGACGATTTGCGCTTGGTTGGGTACCCACGCAACTAATATCCCGCATTTTTGCTTTAAGTTCGCATTACTTCTAGTCAACTCGTAGTTTTCTTGCACCAATCAGTTCCGAGTTTCCGATTAATTTCTTTCTTACGTGCATCAAATCTCGGCTCAAATGGCTTATGTAAATGCTAAACCACTTCATTGCTCTTGATTTTTTGCCACATAAAATAGTGTATTCCCTTTAATAAGGTGTACATGGCTGCAATCAGCTAATCTTCTCTTGTGTTTTTTCTCCTTTTTGGAAGCAATTTTTCCCTTATTTCTGACCAACTATGAACGACCATTCTTAGTGTTACCATTCTTTATGTATTTACTTAAAGTGCACTGAGTCTTGGAAGGATTTTTGTAAGATCTTAGAGCAAGGAGCAGTTCTCTAAATTTAGCCCCAATTCTATGTTTCCACGCCACATTGATTTCCAGACCATCAAGCTCCAACCACTGCTTAATGCACAAATAATGAGGCTACCAGAATTTGGTGGCTGCGAAATCAACAAAACGACCTTACATTTGGATATTTGTGCTCCTAAAAATCACTACATTTACTGCACAAATATGCTTGTTCAGAGCCTTATTCACGGAGTGTTTTCTTTTTGCTCACATTCCTGGAAGTGTTCATTTGTTTGAACTACGTGCCATCCAGCAATGGTCTTTTTATTTGTTTAGCTTTAGCAACTTTTAATCCAAGAAATAGACTTTGGGCTAACCATTATTCTTGTGTATTGTATCCGCCACTCCTCCTGACCTGATCCCTCTCCGTAGGCAGCAATTTTAATCCAGGACTTTTGGCGTCCCTAGTTTCCTACTCTCCAAAATATCGCTAGCATTTAAGTGATTGCTCATTATCAAACTACCCAAATCTCCTGTATCATAAAGGCCAAAAATAAAATCGTTTGCAAGTGTGAACTATTTATTTTGGAATATTTACTTCTTTTGGTCTAATTGATAAACATGTTTGCCACTCTAGTCGCATCACAGGTCGAAGCATAGAAGATAAGTACGTTTGCACTGGTAGTGTTCTTGATCTACACAATAATCGTCTAACATGATGTTGTTTAACCAAGAAACTGAAAAATAAATTTTCACAACCATGCCGACTCCCTACTGTATAATACGTCCTTTTATTCAATGTTAACATTGCTTCAGTCAATGATCCTACAGTTATCAGATAACGTGAGTTTAGCACACAAAAAAAACACTTTTTTTGCACCTTTTGGCCTGCACGAAGGCTGCGTTTGCAAATAGTTTCTCATCATCACCGCTATTAGCAAAGAGTGCTTCAACTGTCATAAACTGAATGATTAATGCAATTTGCACGCTCCACGGCTAATTAATTGACGGAATGATTTGTGTCAACGTGCCATTTTGAAGTCCTCGATGCGCCAATTGATTGATTTGGCAGTCGCTTAAGTAAAAGCATCGCCGATGGCTGAATGAATAAATGAAGTAAGGAGGACACTGTTACTTGGTGAAAGATAAATTTTAACCTTGTTACTAACGATAGAAAAGTAGTATGGAATGAAGTTGGAAACGTCAGCAACGCCGTCACATCTCTGAAAAGGAATCTATGCGGCGACTCTAGTCCTTATAATCTCATCATGTTGCCATTGTGGTAACACATTAGGTTGGAGAAAAATCAAGAATCTGCACTTTAAATCTGTGTTGACCATTGACCCCTAAAATAACCTCTGAATGTTCCCAGCTTGCATTCAACTAACATCTGATCGCATACCTCATCGCTTTGCACTTTTCGCTTACTTATTAAATGCACCCTAGAATGCCCCCACTTTTCTCTCCTGCTGATCTTTTGGCTCTGGCTGACTCTCTGAATGCGGAAGAGGAGAGACAATTACGGTGGCTAGATTTGAAGCCCAAGAACCCACATATATGGGCACTGCCCTTGTAAAACTTTGCCGCCACATTTTACAAAAGTCATCCGTGCACAGTTTCTATCCTCATTAAAACGAAGACTCTGGCTTACACCCTGACGATACTTTTGCTTTGATCACATCAAGTGACAACCGAATAAGTTCGTAACAGGTTTAGAGATAATACGAAATGAGATACGGTTAGAACCTCTCCCTATTGTTTTCCATATCGGCCAAATAAAATCAGTCAAGACGCATTAGAGTACTTCAGCACGTCTGACTGCAAGTCCCATATATATATATATATGTCACTTATCATAATAATATTTGCCCCAAAACTGAGTTCACTGGGTGGAATGACAAAAATGGTAACAATTGGTAACCTATGCTCGAGGTGGTGCTTTGCTTCGTAACCCAAGCTCTCTACCAGTAGGTTCCAAGGTGACGAATATTGACAGTGTCAAAGGCGGACAGGCTATGGCAATCTATAGCAATTGTTGGACGAAGAGGTAGGGCAATTAGCCCATCACGTCGGACTGATCCATTGATTCCACCGTGAAAACGCTTTGGATCCAAATTGGCTGAACAATGGGCATGATTGAAGTACCATGTTATCCGACGGGAGTAAAAATTGCAAGAGTGAAGGAGGCCTCGTGTTGTAGCATATAGCATAATAAGAAAAATGAAATCATGGCTTTCGTTTTAGTATTTTGCGGTTGCCAGTAAACATTATTCGAGGCAGCGTCTGAAGTTGTTTGACTGGCCAGTTACTTGTTTGAAAGACTACCAAAAGTTGCGCTGATAGAGGTATTATTTAATGGTAACTAACGATTATTTTGACCGCCAAGTTCTGTTTGTGGGATAATTTTGCAAATGCGCTTTGCCCAGAATTTACTGTTTGTCGATCTTTTTTGCTTGCGCAGTGGATAGAAAGTGCATGCACTTGAAAACAGAAGGAAATACATATTCATTGCACGCTCACAATTCTAGGAAATTGTAAGCGACTGAAAAGCTAGCCTCTTCTCTCCTATTTTACTTCTGTAGTACCGCCAGTCTTTCAACGAATAAAGGTCGCATGCTCCCTTCACGCTACGCACAAAGCCGCCTCAAAAGATTCGAAAGAACACAGTCTTTCGTAGAAAATCACCCTCCAAAGAGCTCCACTTGCACTCAATGAAGCGAATTTGTAAAATCGCTTGATGTAATTTGCCATTTTTCGTCCACATATTTCCTAATTTATCTTTTCGATCAATGTTTTTGTCATGCCACTACTACATCTCACTTCAGCGACCATTGTTATTTACCATTATCTTACTCCCTTTCCCACGCCAGATTTTGTGCCACGAAGAAGCGGCACACAAGCAAACAACTCTTCTTGCGCTACTGATAAAGAACGCTAGTTTCTGCACACATAAAATTATCATTTTTTGACACATATTTTGCATAAATATTAATGACCCACTAAAACATGCATAACCACAGTCTCCAACGGATTATAATAACTAGGACTACTTTTGCCTTCCCCGATTGTATTCTCACCCTTACCCTCTACCTTGTCAATCCTATTTTTCTGACAGATGAATTCAGAAATGTACTCTTTGTTGCATGTGTTGCGATAAATTGCAGGCTGTTTTAATCGTAATGCAAAGCTCAACAAATCTTTGGCCGTGGCCACCTCACATGTCGCTTCCAGCAAATGTAGTAGCAATAATAAATGCTAAGACTCAATTTATCAACCCCTCATAGTGGTAGAGATTATCCGTAGAACAACGCAGGAACTCTCCCAAGCCAAAGTATGCTTAACTTCGAATGAATCGATGTTCAAAAATAAACACAATTATTGCTGAACAAACTTTACGATGTCGGACAGGTGCAAAGCTCCAACCACGAAAGTGCATCCCGTGTGGAAAGAAGTTACAAATTAAAAACCTCTTGAATGCTCCATTGGGTGGGCACGAAGCTTGTGTAAGGGAAAAGCGACTTTAATCAGAAATAATAAATCCTACTTAAACTAATTATGAAAGAGTACATGTAAACAGTCACTACTAGGGAATGGCTGGTTGGTGAGCTTCTACGCTCCTTAACAATACCTCCACAAAGACTGAATGATGGGAATGAGGTGACTAAAAACGAAACAGAATGTATCATTTTAAAATGATGCATTTATATATAGTTCCGTTGTGGTAGAAGCACGATCCTATGCTAGGGGAGCATTAAGTCGGGATTTAGATTTGTCTTAAAAGAAACTAAAAGTCAAAAGCAATCCAAATTTGATATTACTCAGGCAAAAGACCCTAGTCACTCAAGCGTGGTGACTTAGCCCCTTCCCCAACAATGGTGGTTCCTTGGTCCCCAAGAGCTGTACTTCGGAGAGGCAGCTTTGCTGAAAGAATGCGCCTGTTTTGCTTTGGTGGATGTACCCTGATGTAAAGATGAAGCACAATTTGTACTCTTTTAAGACACTTTAATATAAACGTAGTCCTTCCAAATGTTAAGAGAGTTTGAGGTTTAAAAGAAAGTTGACTCAATCGACACTCATCATATCACTATAAAGGTTTTGTTTAAAGAAGAATTTATATTAACGGTAGACGATCACATAATTATGAATCCGTCAGTGAAGGAAATAATAAAGAAGATAAAACGAAGATTCAAACACGTTCTATTCGTTGTGCTTTGGTTTTGTAAGCACAGAGGAAAGACACGAAAACCATGTTGAGGGCAATAAGTGCGGTAGACACCGTTTACAAGCAGCGCAAAGGGAAGGAGAGGCTCACAAGTGTGCAGGATGATGGCTCAACATCGGAATTAGCATATTTGCCGAAAGAGATCGGATACAGATCAAATGGACGGCCGTGAAGAGTGGATACCGCTCGCAGAGGTGCATGGACGAGAGCTGCGTATAGATCTACATACCAAAAAGAAATATTTCGTGACTTGATATAGCAAGTGAATTTCCTTCCAAATTGCCCGTTCACACTCGAACAAATATGCGCACTACCAGTTCATCTTAGGGACACAAACTTCAGGCCGTCACTACATACATAAAGCAAAAGGAAGGTAGATTACTGCCACATTACGCAAGCAGCTGTCAAGTGCTCCGCCTTAAAAAAACATTACAAACGTTGGGTTAAACAACACTATTCTCATGATATGTCGAGAACTTTCGAATCTACTTTGAGTTCGTGGAACAGAGGGACCCTAATTACACCAAATTTAGCCGACATTTAATAGAGGCCATTTGTACCGAGTGGCCACGTCTAGTGGTGCTTCTTACGAACCATTAGGTATTACATCAGGCTGTAGCACAACTTCAGGGCTTCAATAGGTTAACGTAATCGGCTGATCACTAATCCAGTAGTTCAGAGCTTTTTTAAGAATGATATTAGATAGCACCGAGGACTATGCTTAACACATGAATTTCGATGCATATCATTTATGTAACAAGATTATTTGATGAATAAGTTTGCAATCTGCCTTTCATGATGCAGGATTCCAACTACCTAATCTCTATTTCCTGTTGGACTACCTTACCGTGTGCAAGGAAACGAGCAACTTGTAAACATGGTAAAGGTTTTACGGATCGGAATGCATAGAATCTAGTGAGCTGTTTCACCTTCTTTGCCGTATCGGGTCCAGAGGCAACAAAATCAGGATGAAGAGACTGTTCGATCTCTTCCACTGTCATTTTTGAGTGCTTCGGATCGGAGAGCCTTCGACCAATAAGAATGTTGAAGACGTCCCAATCGTCGCCTACCTCGGGCATCAGGTCGCTCTGACGAAGCATACCTAAACAAAGCAAGCCTTTCTCTTCCAGCGTTCTGCTTAAATATAACTTGAAATATGAGTCAATGAAACTAATCACAAAAAGGAGACCATAGAAGGCCCGACGACAGAATTATAGGATCACATTATATCCTTTAATGTCATGGAAGTCAGTGGATTTTAATGACTAAGGTTGCCACCCAAAGGCGTCTGCTAGTTTACAATGATAGCAACCAAGATAAACGATGATTTGTCCATAATTGGCGCTCAGTGATTGCTATCCAGAAGATAAAACTGACATTGACATTCTGCGATTTTAAAGTACCGAAACCGATGCTGAAATTCATCAGTATGTGGTTGTGTACGTGGCCTAGATCAAACGACACAAGTTTCACCAACCAATCAAGGAAGGCTCTTTCAGCATTTCGAAAGCTGACTTTTTTTTTCATATCCTAACAGCCAATCAGATAGCTCCATTCCATCGACGCCGAAACCTATATCAATGGGATGAAAAAAATCAGATCCAACCACTTGGGTTTTCATTACCAAAGACACCACGAATTTTCCTAACGGTATTTAATCTGCAGCTCTAGGAATCACAACACATGGTTTCATCCCAATACCTACGACTGGCTCATTTGAAAATTCAGGTATCCAAAATAGTCCTCCTACTGATTGCTCTGTCAACAATGTGACAAGGTGTTCATCGTCTCCCAAGGTGAATAACATGCCTGCCAAGTCCGATTTCCTTAAATAAATCCCGTTGGCGAGTGAATCCAGAAGACTTAAGAGGTAGGAAATAACATTTTTTGAAGTACTATAAAAGTGTCTCGTGTGACTTCTCTGTTGGTTAAGTAATTAATGGCATTGGAATTATTGCTTTATTCCATAAAGTTAGCAAAAAGTACGTGCGATTTTGTTGGTGGGCCTTTATGGCTTGTGAGAACCTGTAATCTTCACTTCTCTGCTTGTAAATGAGCAAATATAATAGCACAGTACTCTTCACCATGGCCTTATATCAAACCCCCAGACCACAAAATACGGGCTACAATTTGAAGCTCAACTTCTCGCAAAGTACTTTGACAACCTTTAAAAGAGATGTGGTAGAGGAAATGTAGGCTCGGGACTGGTTCACAAAGGAGGAAGTCCACGGACTGATCAATGAAGATAAATTTCGCGATGTAAAATTAGGCAGATTTATCACTTTGAAGGAACGTCACTCCAGCCGCAGATGGCTGGTTTTGTGCCGCGCATGCGTCAGATGAGCTGAAAATAAAAGTCTGAACGTCCCGAAATTCAAAGTATGCTACGTTGGAACGAAAACAGTGTCACCATCGAAAACAAAACAATTCAAACTGCATAATTAATAAGTCTTGCTGATGGTGAGGTGCCAAGGCAAAATCCGTCAATGCGGCCTTAAAAAAGCTAGGGACTAAAAATACACCTGGTCCATAAAACGAAACACAATTCCATAACTGTTTCAATATTTTTGTCGCAACTAATCCTTTTACATTATTTGCATGTGTGCGTGACATTGAAGACTATGGTGGTCTTTCTAACAAAAATAATCCCCGACCAGTTGAAATACTAGCGCCACTTCTACTTGGAACTGTGCCAGTTGAAATGAGTATGGATTTGTGGGTTGAAACTATGCGATTAGGACAATGAACTGAAGACGTTGCAACAGCGAATACTGTGGTATAAAAACAGGAAAATAGGTTGTTATACAAAGTGATAAGACGCAACTCACATTTAAACAGCTCTGAGACCCCACAACTTTCAAGAAGAGTTGACTGACGCGTATCTGTAAAGGAAAGCAAGGGAACAAATAAAAAAATCTAAAAATTACCTTTCTAGTTCACCCAAAAGAAAGGAACATAGGTAGAGCGGGGGTCGGAAATTATCAATCACGTTAACATTTCCGTCAAAGAAACTTGTCTCCCATGAAAGTAGACCCTCAAAGCCCCAAAATGGTTCAACGATTTGTCCACGTCTACTGCACTGTTTTTAGTTCAACCTCTCGCAAAAACCGCTACAGAGAACAGAACATTTCGACGAACCTTTACGATAAACCGAAGGAAGTACAGTGGAAAAGGAGCACTAACACCACAGTACTGGACAATTCTATCAATTTGGTGGTGGCTATCACACGCCATGGCCCAGTCCACATATCTTCACTAAAGGCGGCAATAAACACTCTAGCCTTCGTGTCTGAAGAGAGGACTTAAGGCAATAGTATGGCAACTGTAGAGGCAGTAAAGCCTCAGAATAGTGCAAGTTTTAGTAGTCAGTCCTGTAAAAACTACTCAGCCATGGGCTTGATCATCTGACCCGATAGGCCAGGCAAATGCATAATTTACTGCATGAAGGCCCCGTACAAAAAACGATTCCATCAACAGAACAAGAATACCAAAGCTGACAGTACCCTTAGAAGGGTTGAAGTATACTAAAGATTCTCATCATGACGAAATTTTCTTTGGGGAAAAAATCCTGCCCTACTAAATGTCCACCTCTTCCTCTTGTTGCAACTTCTTTCAAATAGGTGTTAATGAAGGCTTTGGCTGCTTCTGCTTGGTGCCACGTCTGATTTGGAGAAGGATACTAGGAAGCTTACTACAAAACTACACCACTGTCACAGTAATTTCCGATTTGACCGAGAATTTGGATCAGCTATATCGTATGAAACGGATTCCATTTTACACCAGAGGGAGGATAAAAAATGAATTCTGAGATTAAGAAACGTAACGTCTGGCCAAATACCCTACAGTTTAGTTGGCAATAAGGCTCAAACAATGAAGTATAAAAAAGGGAAATAAAATCTACCGATAAAAACAAAACGAGGGCCAATAAATGGTCTCGAAACTAACAAGTTCAAATATAGCGAAACGAATCAAACACGCTTATAAAACAACTCACTGCAAAATCGTTTACCCTCTGCAGGTGGAGAAACGGATAGTTGAAGTTAGCAAAAAAATAAGTGGAAGTTAATTAAGTCAAGTGTTCGGACTTGCAGTCTTTTTAGCTAACTATTTTAACATAATAACTCCATCATACTGTTTGGAAGGCTTGGTTGGTAATGAAAGCAAAAAAATTTTAAGCATTAACGCTGCAATTCGGTATACTTCGTATCCATCACGTTAATAATTGCAAGAAACTCTTAGTGAACTTTATAACACCAATAAACTCCGAATGTTATAGCCGTAGGGAGAGCATTAAGGGTATTAGAAAGTGGATTCTTATGTCATTTGGAGATATGATGGGTAAGTACGCTCCCTTAAAACGGGGAGTTTCGGATTTGTCAAAACCGACTCGTAGCACTGCTGTGACAACTATGGCTATGTAATCGTTTTCAGGATCAAAGCTAGCAACACTACAAGCATATCCATAATAAAGATGCTTCATGGCTTCCTTTATTCGTCGATATGCTTCTATTCAAACAAGTCATAAGGTGTGCTAAAGGAAATGTCTGAATGAAGATAGATGTTTTTAATGCTCCTCAGTGAACAACGGGAACCAACGCAATCAGACACGCTAATGTAGCTCAAATTGTGGGCTTGAGATGAATCCGATGCGACGTGGACTGCGTAAGATGACAGTGGACTGGAAAATATTGATAAAGTGAAAGCAGGTGAAGTAACATGCAGCAGATTGTGAGGCGCGACTATAAATAATAACTATCGCTCGATTCTCCGGTTCAACCACCACAGTTGTTGCACTACATGCGTTGTCAGTCAGCTAACCCTTCAATAAGGCTAAAACAAGGAATCGAGCCGATAATACTCCTTCCCCCTTGCCCTTACGATCTTTCAGAAGATGTAATCGCCACACGGCCTAATTAGCATTACAAAGAAAAATTAAGAATTAAATGAATTCCAGGCAATCACTCACCATATTTGCCATACATGTAGTGGCAGTACTGGCCCATTTCATAGAGCCCCAATCGAATGATGGCTGACTTAGTGTTGGTCCCCAGTTTTAAACCATCCACGATGCCCGCGGCTACCGAGAGAATATTTTTCAAGGCGCCACATATCTCCACTGTCGTTACATCAGGTGTCCATGTAAGGAGAAGGTTCTCCGTCTGCAGAGATCATGATGGTTATTATCGACTAGATGCAGCAAAACTGAGGTAAGAATAAGTGAAATGCTTTAAAAGCGACCAAAATAGATAGGCCGGCGATGAACCAGTAATATTCTCAAGAAACGACATACCCTACACTATGCTGCCATTAAATTTTCTAATTAGTTGAAAGTCATATTGAGATGGAAAAGAGAGAGGGTACCACTTCAAGAAATATGGCATTAAAAGAACCAAAGAGGCACTAGGAGAATAGATTTTAGCAATAATAGCAGCACAGCAAGAAAAGTACAGAGTTGCACCCAGTTGGAAAAGAATTATGAATCTTAACACAGAGCATTTCGATAAGGCCTCTGCGGATATCAAACTGAGTTACCTGCTGCATCATTGCCTATGTAAGGCTTACATTGTAAAAGGTTCAAAAGGTACCAGAAGCAAACTGGAACAACAGCAGTGCTATGTAGTCAAGGGCGAGTTCCAGAACTTACCTCAAGTATTTTCTTAACCTCTTCTGCAGCCTGTTCATTCGACGAGCCAAGAGTGACATCAGTAAACTCGCCCTTGGCAAGTCCATGAGCCGTCATAGCCCCGCTGACGACCACCGCCTCCACACCAGTGATCCTACGAACCTCCTCACTCACCAACCATATATCTTCCTGGCCCATTGGGGTCTTTCCTTCGGGTGCCACCAAACCCTAGAATAGAAGCGAAGAAAGAAAATACTCGAATTTACTCATAACTGGAAGTGGAACTTATTACCTCGAAAGTCTAAAGATTTTAGATTAGCACCGTATTTGATTAATTTGTGGTCTAAATGGCCCGTTCACTTCAATCCGAAGCTGATTCCCGCAAAACTAATGAGCCGATTAAGGTATTTGTAGCTTCAGCTTACAAACGATCTGCGCAAAGAGTGTATGGTTTCTACTCCTCCTAAGAACACAATTTTGACGGTCCCTCCATCCAAGAGGTAGGCAATTGCAAAATTTCCAAGCTGATTATATAACCATCAATCAAAAGTAGTTGAGAATGAAGGTAATGCCAACAATTGATTTGTCAGGTACAATTTTGGAGATGCATTTGTTTCTAGAGCCAGAAATGAAGACAGCACGAGTAAGCGAACATAGAGAAATGAAAACGAGAAATCAGTCATGTGCGACCTTCTAAAAGATGCGCTTCACTGTTGCCAAATGGGTGCCTTCAAAGAGCAGAGGCATTAGCGCATTTACTAAAGTTCTCTGTAAAGCATATGCGCAGAATGATTTGCAGAGTGCCAGATACGTGGGTGGTCCAAGAATTTCATTAAAAGCTTAGGACAATGCGAGTCGCATTCTAAGCCACGGAGAATTTGAATATCTTCGCACCTGAACACCGAGAAGTCACCCGAAAGGAAACATAAAGTGAAATTAAGAGCGTATGAGGTAGGCCGAAAATAAGTGCATGGTTAGGCGAACTCAATGCCAAAGTGGCACACTGATCAAGGCAACTTCACACCTACCATAGGAAGTGGAGTGAATTTAAAAGTATATGAAGATGGACCTAGGAACAGCCATTAAAAAGTCAACGATGAAATGCTTAAATTGCGAAATTTCAAATATGCGCAGCAATGAAAACTAGACCAATAACGTAGAGAACCCTCACTAATTGATGCCTTGAATACGATAAACTTACAAGAAAACAATTGTACAACTCGTGTCTTTGACAGTGAAAAAGAATTTTTTATAGTAAAGTATAAATCTTACGTACTTTTGAGAAGGAAATAAACAACACATCCTTCTTGAGGTGTTTCTTCACCGTTTCAAGAATTTCGGTGACATGGCGAGTGGCGTAAGCAAAAAGAACTACATCCGCAGCAGCTGCAACACAAGCCGCATCACTAGAGGCGACGACACCATCAGAAATCTTAACTCCTGGAAGGTACTTCTTATTTTCTCTGTATGTATTAATCACATCGATGAGACGCTTCTGCGAATATTCCTCATCACGAACATACCACAACACCTGAGCCCTCGTTTAAACACATTTTGGCCGTTACCTTTGGATTGTAGCCTGAGAGTTTGGACAAATTCCCAACGACCAGATTCGAGAGCACTGTACCCAGTGCGCCGCATCCCAATACACAAACCTGCCGCATGACCAAGAAAGGCGAAAGGACTGCGCGTACGCCTGTGGATAATGTTCACTGAAACAGTATAACACCTCAAGGAAATCAAACAAACTAAACAACTTTTGATCCCTTAAAACGCAAAAGATTGCAAAGCAAACGCTTTTTAACAATTTATTTTGCAATTGAAAAGGGGTGGCTGGGATGTTTGTGTTGTGATTACATAAACCTTAGCTAAACTCACTAATACTGAACTTATGTTCAGTTTGTACATATTTTTTTAGCAAGATGGCTGCGTAATGCTTTGTTTGTAACTATCTGATGTTTGGTGGTTCCTTTAGGATTTGTACTCGTGGGCTGGCCTTCGGGCTATGCTCAGGCCCATTTGCACCGTCCTTTTTGAAATCTATGTATCTAGCTTTACTTACCACCTTCTTCCATCCTGTGGGAAGTTCCGGGACCCTACAGACTAATCTTATGCAATTATTTTAATTTAAAAATCCATGCCTTTAACAAAATGATGTGTCCAACAAATTTGGACCGAATTTTAAACGGATTTCGAACTGAGTACCTAACTCCTATAGATTAAACGTAGGTACTGTAATACTTTGTCAATGTGACTGCCAGACGTTTAGCGGTTGCTTTATAATTTGTCTGGGTCCCGTACAATGGGCTAGCCTCTGAGCCACGCTCAGGCCCCATTTGCCCTGTCGTATTCGGAATAAGTGTATTCAACCTCAATTATGCCTTCGTCCACGCTATAGGAAGCCTCAGGACGCTAAAGTAACTGCGATTATATTAGGTAAATTATTTAAAATAATGAGTACGTTAGGTGTTGTGGATCAGCAAAAGTATGCGTTTCTCAAAAGATAATCACTTCATATAGGAAAGATTTCAACAACTCTTAGAAAAGTAATTTCGATGGGTGACGTGTAGAAGGCTAGTCATCAAGTTTAATATTCTGTTAGCGTAACAACCTGATGTCTGACGGTTACTTTAAGATTTGACCTGTCCAACATTTGAGACAAGCCCAAGCCTGGCGCGGTCTGGCTTTCGGGGCGAGTCAAGGCTTAGTTCCTTCTTCTCAACCGAGAGTGCGTGTATTCAGACCAACTTAATGCCTCCTTCTACTCACTGGAAAGTCTCGAGGCGCTACAGTAAAAAACCCTCGGTTGAGAAGAGGGAACTAAGCCTTGACTCGCCCCGAAGGTCAGACCGCGCATATAGGGGCCAGATGAATGCCA